GGCTTTGGTAAAAGCAGGGGTTTCCTGGGGAGGGGGGGTTCCTTTCACATTAAATCATAAAATAATTCTCTTTGGAAAAAAATGTGTCGGTAACAAATGCCCCACAGAATGAGATAGATCACTGAAAACTGAAATTTGCAAAGCTTTGCTCAGGCCTTTGATATCATGCTCTTCCTTAAATCTAAGAGTTAAGAGTTATTCCTGCCAGGCGTCTGTTTTTGAAGTTCCCCAGCATGTTAAGCAGGGCAGGAGGCCCCGCTGTAGCTCTTGATCAGGGAAATGGAGAAATGATTGTCGTTAACATAAAACTCAGGGCACTGGGATCAGCTTTCTGTCTGCTTGGGAAGCCAGCTGCTTCCAAGCTCCTCCATCCTGTGGTTCGGCTCTCTGGTGGGGTGCAAGTGCAGGGAGTTTGATCCTGGGGTGCATGGGAAATTCTGGGGATCTTTGAATTTGGATGGAGAAAAATGTATTTATGTTCACCAACCTCTAACCAAAATTTTCGCACTTCATTTTGAAAAGTAGCAACCAACCAAGATAATATTATCAGTCCCTGTTGTCATTAATAGAAGCCAGATATTTTCATATCATAGTTGTTGCAGATATGTTGAAATAAAGTCTATGCTCATACCCATCCAAAATTAGTTATTAAACCTGCTGCTAGAACTTGTTTTGTGAGGCATTAATAAAGAAGCACACATGTTACTCTGTCACAATTTTTAAAATATTTTGATAACAGTATTTCAATGTAACTCTTATCTTATGTATTGTGAGAATTTACGGAGCCCTAAGCTTCACAAGACTGTCAAAAGTGTCCCCAGCACGATAGCGGTTAAGAACCTTTATCAGGAGAAGATGAAGTGGGATTGCTTAGAGCAGAGGGAACCAAGTCGAAGAAGCAACACAGTGCAAAGGGCCTGGGCTTTGATTCTGGCACGGGCATAGCTGGATGTGGCAAGGAGAGGCTCAGTAGGGCGCCACTCTGGCAGTAATAGGAAGCACAGTCAAGGGATTGTCCCCACACTTCACAGAACCGCTTTTCTGTAAAGTGGTTCTGGAAAGTTCTGTCACTTTCTGAAGCTCTGACTTGGATTTTGGATAGATCCAAACACCCATTTGGTTTAATCCTGCCTCCATCACTCACCTTGGACAACTTAATCTAATCACGGGGTTTCCATTTGTAAAACAGTAATAATGCTTGCCCAAACATTTTTTTGTTAAATAATTTACTGGCAAATACAACGTTGAACAAAGAAAGCAAGTTACAGGATGATAGATCTTCCACTTATGAAAAATGTTTAAGGGAGGCAAAACAATGTTACATGATGTTTATAGGTAAAGACTTAGGTAGCCAAGTAGAAAATCATGCATGAGAATGATGCATGATTAAATATCAAATTTAATTTCCTAGTGCTTACAACTGGGGGATGGGGAAAACAAGTTTGGGATGTGTACAGGTGAGAGGAAACAATCAGAAACAAATACAAGATTTGATGAAGCTCAGTAGTGGGTTCTTTTTAAAGCTTTATTTAAGTGGCCTATAATAAGCTGAACATATAAAAACGTACAACTTGATAAGTTTTGATGTATGTGTACATGCATGAAACCATCACCACAATTAAGATAATGATCATATCTGCCACCTCCAGTTTCCACATGGCCCTGTGTAATCTCTCCATCCTGCCTTTCCCCATCCCTACTCCAAGATGATCAGTGATCTCTTACTATGGACTACCTTGAGTTTTCTAGAATTTTATGTCATTGGAATCATAGAGTATGCACTTTTTCATTGGATTCTTTCACTCAGCATAATTGTTTTAAGATCCATTCATGTTGGCAGATGTATCAATACTTCATTCCTTTTTACGACTGAGTATTATCCCATCATAGGGAAACTCTACAGTTGGTGTATCCATTCCCTTATTATTTATCATTTAGATTATTTCCAGTTTGGGCCATTAAGATTAAACCTGCTGTGAACATTTGTGTGCAAGTCCTTGTGTGAACATACACTATCATTTTTCTTGGCTAAATATCCAGGAATGGAATGACTAGGTTCTATAGTAGCTATATGTTTAGTTTTTCAAAAAACTGCCAAAGTGTGTCCCATTTTGTACCACTGGAAAATGTACCATGTAACATTCCCATCAGCAATGAGAGTTCTAACTATTTCACATGCTTTCCAGCACTTGGTATGGTCAGTCTTTGTCATTTTAGCCATTCCAATAGGTGTGTGGTCCAAGCTCACTGTGCTATAATTTGCATTTCCCTAATGAATAAAGATGTTGAACATCTTTTCATGCACTGATTTATCTTCTGTTTAATCTTCTTTGATGAAGTAGCAGTTCAAATATTTTGCCCATTTTTTATTCGCTTTGCTTATTAGTGAGTTGTAAACTTTTAAAAATCTACTTTAGAAATAAGTCTTCTGTCAGATACATGTTCTGCAACCATTGTCTCCCAGTCAGTGGTTTGATTTCTCATTTTCTGAATGGGGCCTTCTGAAGAGCAAAAAATATAAATGAATTCCAATTTATTGATTTTTTTCCAGTTTTTACAGTTTTTGTGAAATGCTTACCAACTCAAACATACTAAAATCTTTTGTGCTTTCTTCTAGAAGTTTAAGCCCTTTTATTTTGATTTCTAATTCATTTTGAATTGTTTTGTATATGGTTGAGGTAAGGGTCAATGTTCTTTTCACTTTCTTTTTTGCATGTGGTTGTCTAATTGTTCCAGCATCTTTTGTGAAACATTATACCCACTCCCTTTGAAATGCCTTGTAGGATTTATCAATTTACTAAATATATGTGGGTCTATTTCTAGATTCGCTATTCTTTCCATTCATATGTTTGCATATATTTTTAAAAATACTGTGCTGTCTTGATTGGTATAGCTCTATAATGTGCCCAATAAGGCCACAGTCTTATGCTTGTTGTATATATAACATCCAGGGTTTTTAGTTGTACTTTGTGGGAGAACGAAGGGAAAGCATATCTACTCCATCTTCTTGGAATCAGAAGTCCTGATGCATTTTTAAAAGCTGGCATCTGGTTCTACTTTCAAAAAAACCATTTCTCTGTGAAATAAAGGGATCTCCCCACCATCCTTCAAAAGAAATGGAAAACAAGTTTGCAGAAGAAGACAAGAGGATAGCCAAAGTTTAGACCGTCCCAATCCACCTGCTCAGACATTATACCAAGGGCCAAAAGCTACCTCTGTTTGCTAGAAATGCAAGACAGTGAGATGAGAACACTGGTGATTTCATCCACTGCTGATAGAGACCGATCTGTCTGGGGTTTAAATGGCTAAAATCTGCTTGTTCTTCTCTGCCTTGTCCGCATGCACATCTCCACTGTCCACAAACCTTTCAGAGACTCGATTTCCTTCCTTCAATGATTTCACCTCCTTTTCCCAGGCAGAATACATAAAATGAATGTAGGTTCCTCAACTTCCAGCACCAAACTTCCACTACCAATGGCTGCTGCGGCTACTTGGTGTGAATTGGAAAGAAGCGCCCTTTCCTCAAAGCTCTTTACGTTCATCTACTCCAATAGTCATGGTTACTATTCAAAATTAGGATGACACTGCAGTCAATAGTGCCCCCTGGATTTGGGAGACGCACAACCTGCTCAACACCAGAGATCCTATGACTCTACTTGTGCCTGCCCCCCTCCCATCTCCCTTTCTCAGGGTTACTACCTGAGGTCAGTCCTTCCACCTGTGCTCTGCATACCCCTCTCCTCCCATCCTGTCTTATTCCTCTTCATAAACTATTCTTGGGCATTCTTGAGCTGATCAATATTAAAAATTCCCAGCTCCTTCTTATCAAAGTCCAAATAAAACTTCTATTTCTCCAGACATTAAAAAAAAAAAAAAAAAAGTCTCCCTTCCAGTATCCTCCTCATTTCCTCCAGGCAGTTTCTTAGAAGATTTGTCTACCCTCATTTGTCTCCATTTTCTCACCAACACCCTCCCTTGCTCTTCAACTCACTCTAAGCTGGGCTCCTCCTACCATTCAATGAGCCTGCTCTAGCTGATGGCCATGCCTGTTTGGACCTGGCATTTTTCAGTCTTCGCCTCCCTAATTTCTCAAGAAAACTGATCCAGTTTACAACCCGCAGTGCTCTTCCCCGTCTTCTGCAATGCCATAGTCTCCTGGCTTTTCCTCCTAAGACTACCTGCTCCTCTTCCACCTCTCCAAGTAGAGGAGCTCTTGGGGTCCATCCTGCCCTTCTTCCCAAATGGTATTCTCTCCACCACGCAATATCCTCCATGACCCTGCTCCATTCTCATCCCCTTCCACGAATCTAAGAAACAGACTTTCATTCGAGACCCAAACAGGCACATCCCATGGCCTAAGCTTCTCCATTGGACGGTTCCGCAGGCTCAACGTATCTACACCCACACAGTTTCGCCAAATCTGCTTCTCCTGTGTTCCCTTCCATTATGTAGTTCCCCACCACTCATCCTGTCAGCCCCGAAGCCTGGGGGGTCACCCAACTCTGCATATTTCACACACCCAATTCACCACTGCCTGCCTCCCAACTGTCTCTCCAACCCTCCCTCCTCTATGCACCATGCCAAGGCCCTAACCCAAGTAACCAAAATCGAACAAGGCTCGGGAGATGCCCAAGACCAGCTGCGCCCACGTACAAAGTGCTTCGTGCTCCAGGAGCCTCCTGCTTGTGTCCATCGCTAGGTTTGAACACTCAGGAGAAAAGCGCCAGGTCAGTCCTGTTCACTGATTTCTGGAGCATCCTCAGTGCCTGGCACCGGTTAGGTCGGTAAATAATCGTTAATACGACAGAAGAACAGTGAAAGACAGGGTTCACTCCCTCTGCTGCGGAGCTGAAGCTCAGAGCCCGCGGGCCGCAACCCCCATCCGCCACACACAACATGGCGGAGATTTAGCCCTACGTCCCACTTCCGTTTCCTGTGCGGAAGTACGCCACTTCCTCTCCGGTTGCCCTGGAGTTTCTTGGAAGCCAAGAATGTGCAGGGTCTGTTCCTTTTCCCTTCCGAATTCTTGCTTCTGCCGCAGCACAGTCTTACGGAGCAGTTTCGAGGCTCTACCGCCAGCGGCTTGTTGGTGAGAGGGGGACCCCAGGGAGGACCCTCTGGGGTGTGGGGGTGGGGCACGGCGGGGGAGCGAGGGACGGAGTGGGGGAAGGTGGCTGGGAGGTAGGTCAAGAAAGTTTGTGTTGCAAACCTACCCCCAAACCGGTTATTATTGGAAGTGGCAGATGCAGTTACCGGGGCAGAGAAGATGCTTAACAGCTAGGACTTCATCGCCATAAAATGTGTGTGTGCGGAGGGCCTTAGCAGCCAGAAAAGCATTTTCTTCTCCTTTAAGATTTCTGTATTAAATGGGCCCAGTCACTACCTACACCTGCTGTCTGGTAACCTTTCCTCCTGTGTCTGAGGTCATGTGCAGCGTGAGAAGGAAACATGTTGGTTTTCCGTTAGTGGTGGGCACCATTCTTCACACTTCTCACCCTTTATTGAAAGGGCTGTGAAAACCCAAGTGCAGAAAGCACTGTTGAAGGTCTGAAAAGGTTACAGGAGACCAGAGCCATTGACTTTTATTTATTTTTTTATTTAATTTTTAAAAAATAATATTTTAAAGATTTTATCCATTCATTTGTGCGTGAGAGAGAGAGAGAGCACTGCAGGCAGAGTGGCAGGCAGAGGCAGAGAGAGAGAAGCAGCTCCCCACTGAGCAAGGAGCCCAATGGGGGACTCAATACCAGGACCCTGGGATGATGACCTGAGCCGAAGGCAGCGGCTTAACCAACTGAGCCACCCAGGCGTCCCTACTTTTTATTTTTGAGAGAGAGAGAGAGAGAGAGAGAGAGAATCTCAACCAGGGGCTCCACACCCAGTGCAGAGCCCAACGTGGTGTTCCATCTCAGGACCCTCAAGATCATTACCTGAGCCGAAACTGAGCCAGATGCTTAATAGACTGAGCCACCCACATGCCCCGACTTTTATTTTTTAAACGAAATCTTTTTTACTTGAAGAAACTTAAGGATTTGGGCATCCTAGGGTGTGCTGTGAGATCGAAAGCAGTGGAATTTTTGCCATAGATCAGAAGAGAGACGGTCACCCAATGAGTACCTCCTGACTTACAGACCAAGTGAGCACAATCAAGATCTTCTTCAGCAGCCACCTGGGCATTGGAACAGGCTGTAAAGTTCACCCTTCTTCAACCTGGTCCTCGCATCGCCACATCCAGTTCTGCCTAGTTGTTCATGTTTCTGGCCTGATCAGTTTTTGTTTTTGTTTCTGGCAGGTGCTGTGGAAGCCCCTAGGTAGCTGAGAAGTTGATGGAATCTTCTTACTGGTGCAGCTTTCACTATTGCTTGTTGTTCGAGTGTGAGATAAAGGTGAGCAGACAATTCTCGAGTGTACTGTTTACCTACAGCACACTGCAACTCGACTTCTGAAAGTTGAGAGAAACAGGTTTGCACAGTTGTGTGTGACGTAGAAAAGACATGTCATCTGATAACAGGAACATAGCTTTTATGCTAATAAAATGCTTTTAAAATTAGTCTGTGATTTTTTTGGTAATTAGCATATAATTTTGGTTATCAGTTGGTTCATAACAAACAGCCTAATTAGGTACCCCCCTGAGTCATTTATCTAAATGACTGTTGTGCTAAATTGTATTTGTGGGCATTGATCAGAGCTAATGGGAAAAAAAGATTAAGATGAAAATCATGGGATTAAAATTTTAATTAGTTTGCCCCCCTGAATAGTTGCTTGGTGTGACACAGTGATTGATTGGCTACGTATGCCCACCCAGCAAGGACGTAGCTCTACTACCAAACTTCTGAACATAGGAGTGTTTTACAAAAGACCTAATATTTTATTTAGTTATCTTTCTCTTTATTACTGCTCAACAAGTAATTGAAAAGGAAGGCAATGTGTGGGGAATCTCATAGTCTTTTGTCTGGTGATACATAGAAAGTATGAACTGAGGGCTCCAATCAGCTCAATATAACTATTTCAGACTTAGTATGTCTAAAATAAAGCTATTTCCCACCCCCAACCCCTTCCTCTCCCAGGGTTCTTTTCTTGACCAGTGGCACCACCACGTATCCGTGTGTTCAGGGCTCAAACCCAGAAGCAATCTTGACTCCCACTTTTCCTCATTCCCTACAGCTTGCCCATCAACAATTTCTGTCAGCTTTTCTTCCAAAACATACCCCAAATGCACCAACCGTTCTCATCTCTACCACCCTAACCCAAACACCATCACCCTTTACCTAGTTAAATGCAGCACCCTCTGACTCTGGTCTCCCTGTTTCTAATCTCATGACCCATTTCTACCCACCTGCCCCCTACCCCATCCAGTCCGTTTTCCACATGATAGTCAAAATGTTTGCTTAAAACATAGGTTAGGCTCTATCACTTCTCTATCTGGAATCACCCAGCATCTTCCCACACTGGTTTTTATGCCTTACAAGCCCCTGCATGGTCTGAATTCATCTGGGACCACTCCTTCCCCCTCCACTCGCTATGACCCGGCACAGTGTCTCTTTCTTCACCTGCCAAGTCTGGACAGGCCTTTGCACTAGTTCTCTCCCCTTTGACTGGAACTCTCTTCCTCCAGGTGTTTGCAGGGCTGGATCTCTCTTATGTAGATCTAAGCTTAAAGATGACCTCCTCAAATAACCCCTTCCTTTACTACCCAAACAACAGTAGGCTCCTATTACTCCCGTTCAAACCATCCTAATTTGCCTTCACCACAACACTTGTCATTACTGCTCTCTTCTTGGGTCTTCGTTTATTGACTGTCTCCCCCTGCTCCTTTGTGAATGCCGTGAAAGCAAAGCTCTTGTCTTGTGTGTAACTATCTTTGGAGCCCCATGAGTCTCCAGTGCATGAATGAATGAGTACACGAATGAAGGGATTTTGTTGGCACCAAGATGATTACCATCTCATCTCAGGTACACTGAAGGAAGGCTGGGAAGGGTCAGAGGACCAAATAGCACATAGAACAGACCTTAAAACATGAGACTTGGGCAAGGATGCAGAATGGAGAGAGGTAGGAGAAATGCTTGGGATCAGAGGCAAGGGCACAGTGAAGGTAAATGGAAATGATATCATGCAACTCTATAGATAACATCCTAGAAATCCTAACCTGTGGGGTGCCTGGCTGGCTCAGTCAGTTAAGTTTCAGCTCAAGTTGTGATCTCAGAGTCGTGAGATCGAGCCCTGTGTCAGGCTCCGTGCTGAGTGTGGAGTTTGCTTGAAATTCTCTTTCCCTTTTCATCTGCCCCTCCTGCTTGTAGGCACATGTGCTCTCTCTCTCTCTGTCTCTCTAAAATAAATAAATCGTTAAAAAAAAAAAAGGAAAAGAAATCCTGATGCTTGCATAAATGTGCACTTGCACCCGCACACTCACACACAGTCTGGCTAAAGAATAGTGACTCTCCACGTTCTCTCGGTACCTGAGTCAGCCTGACATCCTGCAGTGGTTCTGTTACACCGCCCGGTGGGGTGAGCCTGAGCCCCAGTTTTCTTCAAATAGAAAGTGAAAGGCTTCCTTGGAATACTGTGTAACTTTAAAACTCAAACTTTACTGAAAGTGGGTGTGTGGGATTCCCTCCTCCCTGAGGAACAAGGAACCTACTTTTTGCCTTGACCCTTGAACCTAAGGCCTACATCCCAATTTGGTGATTCTACTTAAATGCCATATTTTGTCTAAAAAGCACTTTACCAAATTATGCCACCCAGTATTTATATTGACAACCAGAGAACATGTCAGGAGCAAATTCTGTAAAGCCATGCCGAGCGAGCTCAGACCTATTCTCTTAACTCTAGGTTGAATTTGTGGGAATGGGGTTGAAGGAGAGAAAGTGTCCAGGTTTAAAAAGATGGGGAGGGAAATGGAGCTTAGACCATAATCCTTTCATAAATCCTTCTCACCCCCAGTTGGTCAGTAAGATCCCTGGGATTGCCATTCTCTTTCCCATGCACCCCTTGGTCGGACCTTTTGTTAATCTTTTTCCCCCTTTGAGGCTAACTTTGACTTTTTTAGGAACTGAAATGCAGGCTTTGTTGAGACCCACGTTGCATGTCGATTTCATGTCTCCTAGTCTCCTCCAGTCTGTGCCAGATCCTTAATATTTCCTTTGTCCGACCTTGTCACTTTTGAAGAAGTCTGGTCAGCTGTTTTGTAGACTGTGCTTTGATTTGGAGTGGTCCGATGTTTCCTCATGATTTAAACTAAGGTTTTGACGTTTCTGCAAGAAAACCACACAAGTGATGCGTCCTCCTCAGGGTACCATATCAGGTACTGTAGGGAATGCTAGTATGTTTTTTTCTGGTGGTGGTAATCCTGCCCGCTTGGTTACAGGGGTGTCTGTCGGACTTTTCCCTGTAAAGTGGAGAATTCCAGTGGTAGTTCCTGTAAATGTGGGGGGAGATGTTGGGAGACTCCCTTGGCATTATTGGTAACGAGATGTTCCGTGAGGTGTACGTTGGGATGGAGGTGAGGGCGGGCATATGTTTTGTTCTGTGTGTATCCCAAGGCTAGATCAGAACTTGCCATGGTTATGCTGCATGAATTCAGAGCTAAAGACACCCATGCCGCTGTGAGAAAGAGCTGGGGCTCCATCTCGAAACACACACGGGAAAATAACTGCCCGTTTCTATTGCGTATGGGGGCGGTGTATGTTGTTAATAAATGGAGTCCTTTTCATCCATGGGTTTGTTCAGCAAATGTTTAGCAATAAAGGCTAACATTTTTCAAGTGTCTGCAATTTGCCAGGCACTGTACTAGGCTCTGCCTCTATTATCTTGGTTCATACTTGCAAATCGTTAAAGTAGGTGTTATTGCCAGCTTTACAGGTAAGGATCCAGAGGCTTAAGGAAGCAACTTGCTTGGAGGCGAGTGGGCCTCGAATCCAGGGCTAACTCAAGAGTGTGTGCTGTTTCCGTGGCACCAAGCTTGCTGTCCTCCAGTGTGCCAAGCACCGCGATCAGTGCCGAGGATACAGAGGGCAAGGTCCACATTTGGGAAGAGCTCTGCCTGGCACAGTAGAGGCACAAAGGCCCAGGGAAGAACCCTCACTCAGGGGCGGGGGGGAGGGGGTCACCCTTTGATTCCGAGGTGCAGTTCCTCAGCCTTGAGAACCACTGAGTTGGTTTTTCTCTGGTCTTTACTGAGTCAGCGTGGACTTGGCAGGTGCCATAGTCAACCAGAGAAGGGAACTCATGCTGCTGCTGTGCTCGCTCTGTTTTTCGTTGGCTGTTATTCATCTCAGCCACCCCATGAAATGGGTATATTATGTTCACTCAGCTCGTGAGGAAACCAAGGCTCAACAGGGCTAAGTAAGCCCCCCCCGCTTGTCACCAGCTGGTAAGTGGCCTAACGGGAGTCTGATCCCAGATCCTACGATTCTGCAGCGTATACCTGGTCTTCAGCATGCTTTGCTGTTCCTGGGAGTCCGGATTCCAGCATCCCCCACCACTGATGGGACGGTGTGCCTGTGGTCTTCTGATCTGTACAAGCGATGATTATGTTTATGTCACGCCTCATGGACGCTGACGGCAGTTCACTGGTAGCAAGTGGTGTGGGTTGTTCTTTTTTCCCCTCAAACCAAAAGATCTTTGTGCAGCTTTTGCTTTTTTTAAACCACCTCCTCCCACAGTCAATCCATGTCACCAGAAGGAAATTGGAAAGTGATGATTCTGAATCATTTGCGACATATAAAATGCTACTGTGTATACAAGCACGCTTCCCTAAGCAATGCGGCATATGGCAAGTCAAGTCCCCCTGTTCCCCGGCTTTTGACAAGAGCATTCAGCTCCTCCCGGAGTCAGTGCTTCACGAATAGCATCCAGTGCTGCTGCTAACAGTCTGTGGCCTTCGCGTCTTCGCCTGCACAGGAGGGGACGGGAAAGGTCTGCGATTCTACCGCTTCCATTTTGGCATCTCCCCAGCTCTGCATCGTTCTTCTTTGTGTTGCCTGTTGGTTTTGAAAAGGTACAAGCAAAACAACTCTGCACTCAGTGTTTAGAAAACAAAAAGGAAAACCGATTTTCAGCAGGCCTGGAGAGTAGGATGGGGACACCAGGCAGCTGGTTTAGTATAGTTATTCCGTTCTGTCCCTGCCGTAAATGACTGGGGTTCATCAATTATCTCGCCTCCGCCGCTGCTGTTTAGAGGTCGTGAGAATGGCCAAAAGGCGGGATTAGCAGTGGCTGTGAAGAAGAGAAGGTATAAGGATTTGCAAGATGTTCTTGTTTGTCTCGGCTTAGTTTGGACTATGCCAGACCCTGAGGCCGGGACTCAAGGGAAGTAATTCATTTGGGAGTTACAGGAACCAATGGTAGGGAATTAGGGAGAATGAGCTGGGAAGGGGGAAAAAGCCAATAAAGGATGTGTTATCAAGCCAGATGCCACCGTAAGGACTGGAGTTTAATAATCCCACTGGGGAATCCCACCGGGGAAACTGCCCTAGAGCACATATCGGAATTATCCAGTGTTCCCCCATTCCAGCTGGGGGAGAGAGCTGGGGTATTTACACACCAGCTTCT